ACGCGTTTGTGTGTGCGTGTGTGCACGAGCGCCTGACCAAAGACGCCCCCAAACAATTAAAGCCGCATCGATAACACACAACGACGATGGAAACGGCGTGTTTTTTATGCATTAAAATATACATATATATATATCTACCTGTTATAATATGTTACATTATATGTAGGTAATAATAATAATTATCATGAAGATATTATTACGGTCGCGCGTGCAATACCGTCGGACACCGCCGACGTCCGAGTCGAACGTAAACGAGGAAACTCGGTGCGTCCAATATGTTTTTTAATTTTTAATACCTATACCATATATTACGCCGGTGACGTGCCGACGCAGACGATCTCCTCGTCCGCTTGTTGCCGCGCGCCGAGTCCGTCGGTGTAATAGACATTTGGATCTTCGCCGGCGTGGGATGTGTCGGGTAAGGTTTTGTTTTATTTTTGTGCTCGGGTTTTCCAGACTTAGATTAAGCAACGGCCAGCGGCGACGATTAAGTACGCTTTTCAGTTTTTTTTCCAACGATCGAATGGCGTTAAAAATCGAATCCCGGAAGTGATAAATATTAACATTGTAGGTAGCGAAAATCTACAGCATTTAACCGCATGGCTTGCCGTCGATTACATTTTACACGATTTAAAAATTTAATTTTAATTTTGACATCAACGCACGAATTATTCTTATTTAAACCTTCGATTTTATTCGTTTTTTATAACATCAAAACGCAACAAGTGTTCAGTATTTGTTCGTTATGATTATCCTTAAATCCCTGGTACTCGGATATCATAATGTTAAAATACAACCAAGTAATGCGCTAATGCATTATAGTGCGTACTGTGCGTACCTATGTGCGTGTAGTAAATTCGTATACTGTAGCCATGTACATAATTAAAATTATTCGCGGTTTCCCTATATCTAAAAAATGTTACAGGAATTTAAGAATTAAAGGCGGCACCCGATGKGAAACGAAACTGATGGGACTTCGAAGTTCGTCACTGGCCAAGAAAAACGACGATACACTGACATGGGTATTGCACAGAAGAGATCTTTGTCAACAAGAACCAGACCAAAAGCCTCATGAAACGTGAGTATATATATATATCAAAATAATATGTTATCACAATATACAATATTATGTAACTTAGTTAAAAAAATATAAAATACCTTCACAACAGTTCTTCAGTAATCGAATTAATCACGGGTGAATTTTAGAGTGGTAGTTTTCAGTTTTTTTTTTTTTGTCAATTCAAACAGGCACTATAGTATTGGTAGTTGAAATTCAGAAATCAAAACAGTAATCTAAAAAATAATACATGTAATTACATTCCCGCATACAAATCGTTGCAAATGTGGTACCCATAATATGAATACGTGGTGTATAATGTCTATTTGTTCGCCAATTTATATCTTATTAGTAAAAAATATTGATCATAAAATCTTCATTTTTTTAATTTTCATATATTTTTTTTTTGTGATAAATTATTTCCAAACGCAATAACTTTAAAAAACAAATTTTTTTTGGAGATTTTCAAATATTATTCATAGAATTTTCAAATCTATTTTATACGTTTATTTCAAATTTGAAACCCACCAATTTTTCATTTTCCATTTATCCGGTATTCCGGTTATACCCTTTATCCAATAAAATGTATTAATTACATGTAACATTAATTTTTATTTTAAAATTTAAAATTTTATACTATGAATTTATATAAATTTTAATTAATAAATTGTATAAATTGTTACAAGTTGGATAATTATATTTATATTAAATTCTTACAAACTATTTTGTCATTAATTTCACAGTACCTACTCAATTATTATATTTTTTCAAAATTATTAAAATGTTCAAATTTTTTTACCAACAAACAGCCAAYCGGTCTGTTTTTAAAACAAAACAGAGTCAGATGTGCACTATTCCCATCCCTCGACTGATGTCACTGTAGATAATA